AGCGAGGTGGTAATGTGTGTTGTGTGTATGTGAGTGCGAAGTGTTAATCTGTGGTTTGTGTGTGAGTGCGACGTGGTAATGTGTGGTTTGTGTGTTAGTGCGAGGTGGTAATGTGTGTGTTTTGTGTGTGAGAGCGACGTGTCAATGTGTGTGTTTTGTGTGTGTGTGCGAGGTGGGATGTGTGTTGCTTGTGTGTGAGTGCGAGGTGTGTGTGTATGTGTCTGAGTGGTTTGTTTGTAATGTATGTTGCGCGTATGATGTTTCCCTGGTTGGGTAGCTTGTTGTTTAACGCCGCACTCCAGCTTTATATCGGCGGTATGTAAATAATCGAGTCTGGAACGGACAATCCAGTGATCAACAGCATGAACATCGATCTACGCATTTGGGATACGATGACATGTGTCAACCAAAATCTTTTCCCACACTAAAATGATTGGAAGGAAGTCACTGAAGCGCACTTAATATGAATATATATAATACCACTGCAATCACATCGCCCCCATTGGATTGGTTGATGTCTTGTTAAACGCTGCACTCAGCAGTATTTCAGCTATATGGCAGCGGTCTGCAAATAACCTAGTCTTGACCCTACAATCCAGTGAGCGTCTTCCTACGCAATGGGGATACGATGACATGTGCCATCTAAGTCAGCGAGACTGACCACCCGATCCCGTTAGTCACCTCTTTCGAAAAACTTGGGTTCCTGAAGACTAGTTCTAACACAGATCATCACGGGCATGATCTCTTTGATCAACGGCTCGATGGTCTATGGAATTACAGAAATGACGAACTCGTTCATAGAACTCGTTTCTTCTCTCCATGAGCTTGTCAATAAATCAATCAATCAATCAAGTTTATTTCGTAACAAGGCCTTTGGCCCACGTACAATACAAATAAACGTGTAATTATCAGGTAGTGGCAATTGACAATCAGATTCATATGTATAAAGAACGCAATGACAATGCTTCCGTAATGTAAGAAGAACAATTTGTTAGTGTTGAAAATTTGGTACCGGATAATGTGTTCAGAAAGTATTGCTGATCTATGAAATTTGGTAATGCTTTAAAATACCTACCGCAAAAATCATGATAAACTTTACATTCAAATAGGAAATGAAATTCATTTTCTTCAAAATTATCATTACACATATTACAAAGTATGTGGTGCCTTGGAAGTGCACCGATTCGTAACATTGCTATTCGACGCCTCGCATCTTTAGATTTCAATAAAGATAAATATGGTTCAGTGCAAAATACACTTTTGATACTGGAATAGACCACAAGCGATTAACATTTGTGCATTTCTGAAAATATGAATTGCTTTTGACAATCAGCAACTCTTACATGAAAATCTTTCAAAAACTGTTCCTGGTTGCCAACTCCTTGAGCTTCCCACACAAAACCAAAACCATAATTGAACAAAGTATTTCGGAAACTATATACCCACGTTTTCCTACCAACTTTGTCTAAATTGTGCAACATATATAGCACTGCTTTGGATTTCTATCCTTTGGTAAGCGTAAAACCAATAGTTCATAACACGTAATAAACTATCAACATAGATATAATTTCTACCACATTCCGCCAAACAGCTGCGTTAGAGCATTTATAACTTACACCCAACACATACTTACAAAATCTAATGTGAAACTGTTCAATAACATGCCATTTCCCAAAACCCCATATTTCCGAAGCGTACAAAAATATCGGCTTTATCTGTAAGCCAAAGACTTTGAACAAAATAGTTGGAGAAATATTTTTAAGTCTCCTACCAAAACCCTTAATTGAGCACAAGGCGTTATTCGCTTTATTTACCAGATTTTGAACCGATTTAGACCATGAAAGTATATTTGAAAACGATAAACCCAAATAATAATATGTAGAAACGTTTAACTTATAATCACCAAAAGTACCAAGATTCAAACCGCCTTAATTTACCACTATTTCTAAAGATTAGGAACTCTGTCTTCTCAAAATTTACAGACAAGCCCCATTTTTTACAAAACTGTAGTAATACGTTGATCTTCCTCTGAAGACTAATGGCAGAATCTGCAAACAAACGTAAATCATCTGCATACAGTAGCAAATACAATTCCATAAACTCTGCGTCAATAAATACGCCCCTGTCACCACAAGTAATTATTTCCGTATACAACTGGTTAACAAACAACGGAAATAGAAGAGGACTTAAAATACAACCTTGCCGAACCCCACTCAAAGAATCAAAATATTCCGAAACATTTAAAGTGCTTAGCTTAACACTAGCCTTTGTCTTTGATTGCATATCTCTAATGATATTGAACATAGAACCATGGACACTATTAGAAAACAGAACAAACCAAAGAAGATCTCTATTAACTGAATTGAACGCCTTACGGAAATCAACAAATAAACAATAAAATCTACTTCCTGTTTTTGACAAATATTTCTGTATAACTCTTTGGAGTGTAAAAATGTTATCAACCGTAGGACAGCCTTTACGGAAGCCACCTTGACACTCAGGGTACAGATCTAACAGTCAACAACCTCTTTCAAACGCCTGTTCAAAATGGAAGTAAAAACTTTGCCACAAATATCCATAAGAGATATACCACGATAAGTATTTACTTCATGAATGCTTCCTTTTTTATACAATGGAAATATAATACTACGTGACCACTGATCTGGAAATTGACCTGACCTGTTTTGATATGACTGCAAAACAATTTTGTTAACTTTAAACATCTCAGGTTGAATGCCATCTGGACCAGGACTTTTATTAGGTCGTAAACAAACTCCACCTCTTCAATCCTTATGTCATTATTCACAATATTATTTGTATCATCATTATTACAGATTCCACAGACGGATTCTTGCACATCATGATTTACAATGAAATCCTTTGTAAATGCGAAAAAATCTTCACCATTATGAATATCTTGAATATTTAATACATCTTTAAAATATTCAACCCATGACAAACAGTCAACTGATGCTACAGATTTGCATGTAGCGCTACTAAAATGAGACCAAAAAGATTTGACCCTTTTACCAGAAGAAAAATCTGATAATATAGAGTTGGTTATTGCTATTGTATATTCCTCCTTCTTGTGACGACAAAGTTCTCTGAATTTATTTCGAACTTTATAAAACTCTTGAAGGTAAGAAAAATCCCCAGACAGGCGAGTTCTATCCAAAAGTTCATACTTATCTTGTTTTAAATTTTCACAGTCTTGATCAAACCATTGCTGATTATGATTATCCCGTCTCCTGACAGAGTTCGAGTTCATTCCACAAGAAGACGCAGTTTTTGGATAATGTCAGTCAGCATTTTTGCACCTAGAGATGGATTATCCATAGTAATCTCATGAAAGACATCAAGAGGCAGTGATTTTAATTTTACTTTTATAGTTGAGTCAAACTTGTCTGCATGGGAAGGTCTCCACTTATATTTCTTAATCGCAATTGTATCATAATGCTACGATTCGCCAATCCTCTGGAAGAAACACTTTAGCTGACAAACAATAGGCAAATGATCAGATTCTACTGATGTACACACACTAAAATCAATAATTGAGATGAATAGATTAGTAGATTATTTCGCTCATATGACGACGTGCATGCGTGTGTATGTGCGGCTGCTTGTACTAGCCCAGACTGAAGCTGGTTTTATAGTGCTAGCTCACTGAGATACCATGCCGCAGTGAAGCATGAATACCCCACTCAGACACAGTATACTGACTCCGAGCCGACCAGTCCTTGTTGTACCAATTAATGCTTAGCGCCAGGCAGGGACCAACAAGTACCATATTTTAACGTCTTTTGGTATGACGCGGTCGGGGATCGAACCCGCGACCTTCCGCTCTCCGGGCGGACGCTTTAACCACTACACCACGCAGGCGGTCGTCAATCATGTAATAAAATATATAATGATTTAGTGTTAAACAAGCATGAATGTTGTTAATAACGCTACACGTAAATGGGGCTTTGCAACGTCATGAAAACCACAGTTTGCAGTTATCTGTTGTGGTGACAAGTTTATTTGCTGTGTACATAAGCTAGCAGGACTTATTACTCGCCCGTGGAAAATATTGCAGTGTAATATTTCTAGGGCAATATTACACTTGTGTAATACCGCTAGACATGTGACGTCATAATGGTTACAGTTATGACGTCATAATGCTAATACCTCTGTCACAATGGTAGTAGACCGTGCCTGACTCGTGGAAAGCTGAGAGTCATCACACTGTAGGCAGTTTCTATCTGTTGGAGAGTAATAAACAGAATACTAAACTCATATCCGTGAAATGCCATATATACTACAAACAAAACGTATGGGAACAGCCTAAAATGTGATGGTCATATATAAACGTTTAAAACATGGTGTGGTCATTTATACTCTAAGGTGAAGGCAACGTTTTGTGTGCTTAATGGGCAATTTGAACAACGTGTTGGAATTTGCAGGGAAGCAACTGATTCAATATTGGTTGAGTTTGAGTGAAGTGAAACATTGTCAAAAGCAACGAAAAACAAGGGTTTTGAAACAAACCAGCACCATGTTGTTCATAAAATCGTCACTAATTAAATACAGCAAAACATTTTTGTATAAGGCCCTTAGAATATGAAATATTTATTAGTCATTTAATGTAACTGAAAAGTTTGTGTTTTCCGTAAAATGTTCCAACTGCAGAACAAAATGTCGATAATCATTTGTAAAATAAAAGGCAAATTTGGCATAAAGTTTAACGTTGAGCATGTTAATTTCACGGAACCAAAACTAATCTCACTTCTTTGAAAACTTAAGTTGGTTGGTTGTTGTTTTACGCCGCGCTCAGCAATAGTCCAGCTACATGACGTCGGTCTGTAAATAATCGAGTCTGGACCAGATAATCCAGTGATCAAATGTTCTACGTAATTGGGATACGGTGACATGTGTCAACCAAGTCAGCAAGCCTGACCACCCGATCCCGTTAGTCGCTCCTTAAGACAAGCATTCTAACCCGGATCTTCACATGAGTATGATCAAGCACCAAGAGGAACCCAATGCGGCAGAAAGTGGTCTTCTTTTATGAGATCTCTATCTAACCCCGATCCTGGCCTGGGAAAATCTCTGTAATATACAGCATACCCGTCTCCAAGCCAAGCAGCCCACCATCCAAATGTCCCCACAGTCATTATCATGTGATCACACAAGGTCAAGGTCGCAAAGTCTACAAAGGGATCTGAATTTTCCATGAGTATTATGTCCGAGGAAACAACATATTTTCTGCACCAATATTTGTCGTCAGTAGCTATAAGGAACAGAGGGTTGTGAAACTTTATATTCATATGTGCAATGGCTTTTTTAATATACGACAAAGGGGCAGCCACATAGCCTCTATTTCCTCCAGAAGTCATATCTGTGCGTCGAACGTGAATCCCGATAACAGTTCGGTTTTTATGCTTATTTGTGTATTTTTCAAAACACTGACCACTGAGATCGATGTATTTTTGTCTGAAGATGAACTCTTTTCTTATCGAGGCTTTGATGCAGTGGAAATACTTCCATGATTGAAGATAGCCCCAGACTTCAACATTTCCATCGGGCAGTGTAAGGAGCTTGCGGTCATAAGCGCCATATTGTCTCTCTAAAACACGAGTCGAAGACTGATTGCGCATGTCCCCGATGAAAGATATATTAAAGAGTATGTTCAGTTCTATTGATTTTGGAATAAGAGCCTTTTTTCCTGTACTGACAGCAATTCCTAGCAATGAGGCATATTCAAACATATTGTTTCCCAGACGACCACGGACTGCCACCGTTAGAGTGTAGTCACGTGACGTGGTTGTTCGCCATCTTGAAAACAGGTCCTGGACGACCTCATCAGGAAGCATCGTGTTGTTGAAGCTTGGTCCAGTTGTGTTAAGATTTCCAGATGAAATGTTGAGGTCCTGGATCCAATTATGTATTTCAGAATGATTGACAATATACTTTTCTTGCAGCAGAATATCCTGATGTAGAATTAAAACTAAACACATAATCAACATGGACATAACTACAAACATGAAGAAAAGTTTTGGAACGTGTAAAGCAGCCATTATGTATTTTTTGTTATGTCTTTAATGTTATCATACTTATTAATACAGCATGAAAATATGCGAGGCACACGCATATGTCAAATATATAAGCACATAATGGGTGGCCGTTTGGTAGCCTAGTGGTTAAAGCGTTCGCTCGTCACGCCGAAGACCCAGGTTCGATTCCCCACATGGGCACAATGTGTGAAGCCAATTTGTGGTGTCCCCGGCCGTGATATTGCTGGAATATTGCTAAAAACGGCGTAAAAACCATACTCACTCACTCACTCATAATGGTGGACTTTTGTAAAATTTAGAATTTTTGTGATATAAAAAACCCAGCTTTCTGGCCAATGACATGTTTGAGGTCAGTATGACAGGCCAAGACCTCCTGTTAAGGGCCAATATCTCATGTAAAAGGTCAAGACCTCCTGTGAAAGGCCAGGACCTCATCTGAAAGGCCAAGACCTCCTGTGAACGGCCAAGGCCTCCTCTGAAAGGTCAGGATCTCCTGTGAAAGGTCAAGACCTCCTCTGAAAGGCCAAGACCTCCTGTGAAAGGCCAAGGCCTCCTCTGAAAGGTCAGGATCTCCTGTGAAAGGTCAAGACCTCCTCTGAAAGGCCAAGGTTTCCTGTGAAGGGCCAAGACTTCCTGCGAAAGGCCAAGACCTCCGATGCGTGTCGAACTGTAATTCTTTGCTTGAATCTTCTTCATATATCAGCGTGGGTGTCACATGATGAATCCCGGCATTCTTGTGGACGGTTTAAATTTACCTGGAAAATAAATGAATTATAGATAAATTATATGTATGAGGGACATGGAAAATGAGTAATAATAATATTAAAAAAATGACAGTCAACAAATCTGTTTGTCTCGTGATGCACATGCTATGAAATCAGCCCAACCGTCATGGCTCATATTTTCTAAACTAGGGTTAATACCGCTTGCATTTCGGAGGGAACAAACCTTTAACCAAGGGAGGATCATGTTAACCTAAAATTAGGGGTCGTAACAGAGAGATCAATTTAATATTATGTAATGAAGTCTTTTTAGATGCGATCTTGCAGGAAAATAAGAGTGATTTGATCAGTCAGACCTATCTTATAAATACCATTAAAAAAGTAGGGGATATTGGATTTACAAGATCCATAAAATGCAATGATGAAGCCAAGGAGGAAAGAGATGATGAAGAGAAATTAAGGGAAAATGTGACAATTAATTCCATTCCTTTGGAAATGTTTTATCTGTATGGGTACATATTACTTATTCTCACGTGCATTGGCCTTGGCGAGTGGTATGCTCGCAAAATCGAATACAGACATACAGATTATATATTTGAGTCTCACCTCACTTGTAAAATACAGGACATATATAAGCTATAATACAGAATAAAAGTGAGCCACCCGTTTAGGGTTATGAGAGACTATTGTAGACTTTAAGAACAAACATAAATAGTGAGTGAGTGAGTTAAAATTTAAAGTCACATTGGCATTATTTCAGCCATATCGAGGCTAAAAATAGTTTTTAACTTCATCTTAAATGCATGTAAATCACTAAAAGCCTGTCAACGAAGGACAATAAAACGAACTAGAATATCACAGACACAAAAAATAAAACTACTATATATCTCTAAAAACAGGATTTAAAATTGGGCCAATACAATTAAAAACGGGCTATATATCGCCAGCAACCAAAGGTAGATCACCATACAAGGGACCATGGGGCCTTAGAGTACCTTTGCTACCTGCATGGATAAACATCTTTGTCCGTCACAATTTAATTCTGGACTCACAAAATATGGTAAAAAGTCCAGAAACTCTCCGCACTGTGGGCACTTTCTGACAAGGGATTTGACCAAATTAAACATGCAGTTGTTATGAACATATGCCAAGGATGACCAAAAAAATGCAAAAAAAATTTTTTCGAAAACTTTTAATTTAAACTCGCTCGCCCATGGGCCTGCCCATGGGCGAACAGTGGCTCATGGGCCGGCCCATGGGCGAGAATGTTTCATTTCGATCAGAATTCATGTTTTGGAGGTTGTAAATGAATGAGTGTATGTTTATAAGCATCATGTCACAAATTTCAACTCATTTTGACTTAAATCGATTAAATTAGAGCGATATTAAAAAATCTCGCCCATGGGCGAAAAATATGTTGGCCCATGGGCGAGAATATTTACTTTTACTCAAAACACATGTTTTTCCATGTTTTGGAGGTTGTAAATGAATGAGTGTATGTTTATAAGCATCATGTCACAAATTTCAACTCATTTTGACTTAAATCGATTAAATTAGAGCGATATTAAAAAATCTCGCCCATGGGCGAAAAATATGTTGGCCCATGGGCGAGAATGTTTAATTTCGATCAGAATTCATGTTTTGGAGGTTATAAATGAATGAATGTATGTTTATAAGCATCATGACACAAATTTCAACTCATTTTGACTTAATTCGACTAACTTAGAGCGATATTAACAAATCTCGCCCATGGGCGAAACATATGTTGGCCCATGGGCGAGAATATTTACTTTTACTCAAAATACATGTTTTCCCATGTTTTGGATGTTGTAAATGAATGAGTGTATGTTTATAAGCATCATGACACAAATTTCAACTCATTTTGACTTAATTCGACTAACTTAGGGCGATATTACAAAATCTCGCCCATGGGCGAAAAACAACATTTTGGCCCATGGGCGAGAATATTTACTTTTACTCAAAATACATGTTTTTCCATGTTTTGGAGGTTGTAAATGAATGAGTGTATGTTTATAAGCATCATGTCACAAATTTCAACTCATTTTGACTTAATTCGACTAACTTAGGGCGATATTAAAAAATCTCGCCCATGGGCGAAAATATGTTGGCCTATGGGCGAGAATGTTTAATTTCGATCAGAATTCATGTTTTGGAGGTTATAAATGAATGAGTGTATGTTTATAAGCATCATGTCACAAATTTCAACTCATTTTGACTTAATTTGACTAACTTAGAGCGATATTAAAAAATCTCGCCCATGGGCGAGAATATTTCCTTTTACTCAAAATACATGTTTTTCCATGTTTTGGAGGTTGTAAATGAATGAGTGTATGTTTATAAGCATCATGTCACAAATTTCAACTCATTTTGACTTAATTCGACTAACTTAGAGCGATATTAAAAAATCTCGCCCATGGGCGAAACATATGTTGGCCCATGGGCGAGAATATTTACTTTTACTCAAAATACATGTTTTCCCATGTTTTGGATGTTGTAAATGAATGAGTGTATGTTTATAAGCATCATGACACAAATTTCAACTCATTTTGACTTAATTCGACTAACTGAGAACGATATTTTAAATCTCGCCCATGGGCAAAAAACATTTGGCCCATGGGCGAGAATATTTCCTTTACTCAAAATACATGTTTTCCATGTTTTGATGTTGTAAATGAATGAGTGTATGTTTATAAGCATCATGTCACAAATTTCAACTCATTTTGACTTAATTCGACTAACTTAGGCGATATTAAAAATCTCGCCCATGGGCGAAAATATGTTGGCCCATGGGCGAGAATGTTTAATTTCGATCAGAATTCATGTTTTGGAGGTTATAAATGAATGAGTGTATATTTATAAGCATCATGTCACAAATTTCAACTCATTTTGACTTAATTTGACTAACTTAGAGCGATATTAAAAAATCTCGCCCATGGGCGAAAAACATTTTGGCCCATGGGCGAGAATATTTCCTTTTACTCAAAATACATGTTTTTCCATGTTTTGAAGGTTGTAAATGAATGAGTGTATGTTTATAAGCATCATGTCACAAATTTCAACTCCTTTTGACTTAATTCGACTAACTTAGAGCGATATTAAAAAATCTCGCCCATGGGCGAAAATATGTTGGCCCATGGGCGAGAATGTTTAATTTCGATCAGAATTCATGTTTTGGAGGTTATAAATGAATGAGTGTATATTTATAAGCATCATGACACAAATTTCAACTCATTTTGACTTAATTTGACTTAAATCCATTTTCAACTCTTGTTCTCTTAAAAGTGGCTTTCTATCAGCACATCCCAATCCGACCATCTGTCATTAATTCCCCGCATGAGCTATCAGTTGCATTGAAAGCTCTCGCCTATTGTTTTCGTTACTTAATTGTTTCACGGATAGGTATGTACAGCAAGGAGAGTTCTATATGATATCATTTGCTTGATAACGGTGTTAGTAGCTACACCGAAACGTCGCTCATATCATATTAAAGAAGGTGTATATCCATAGAACTCTCCTTGTGGTTCATCACACCACCTTCTAAATGCCACTTAAACATGTGATAGGTATGTAGTCACTCCAAATTCACCATATGTGCGTGACTGTCCTCTCCGACGTCCGCGCCCACCTCTCAACCTAGCAATCTCGATCCACTTTCTGCTCACTATCAAGCCATCTATAACTTCCCTCTCTCTCCTACCACCTGTCTTCTCAGAGGTCCGCGCCTCTCTTTTCCTTCATTATTTCACACCAACTCTACCTGCCAACAACTACTGTCTCCTCCGAGGTCCGCGCGCCTCCAGCCACCACCGACTCCCGCCGCCTCTCAGCACCAACCATAACAAACTCCACGGTCAAGGCTTCCCATAGCCCCTCAATTACTACACTCGCTCAGCCTGCCTTGCCCCCCTCAATGCTCCCATACCACCCCTTCACCCCACCCACCCTAGAAGGACTTACATGGTCCCTTCATACGGTGGCGGTTGGGCACAAATTTAGCCATCACTTAAAAACACAAGTATCCTACTATTATAAACCTGGTATATCTAAATTTACTTC